CACACCCATGGCTTTCTGCAGAGGGAGTTGCAAACCCCAAGGCCACGGCCACAAAGCAGCCCCAGGAGCACCACCCCTCCTCCCCACAAGGAGAGAAGCAAAAACAGCAGTTGCTCACACCTGTGTCACCGGGGCCATCGCCTCAACTGACAGCCTCGCCTGTGTGGAAGAGCTCCGTGCTTGTCCCCAGCCTGTGGCTTGTTAAGAACACTGCATCACCTCAACTGACACTCCGGCCCGTGCAGAAGAGCCCAGCACTTGTCCAGCAGCCTTGTGGACTGGAAGAACCCTGTGGCGCAAACAGCAACCCCAGCAGCTGAGCAGGATGGGGTGTGGGGCGGGCCAGCAAGTCTGCTCCTTCTCCCGCTCCTGAGAGCAAGTGCTGTGGATTCCGCAGAGCCCCGACCCTCTCCACCCGCAGTCAGATCGCTTGCACAAAGTACCCACCCAGTTAGATCTTGTGAAATAGCGGAAAGGCAGGATGCCCCTCTCCTGTGTCCAGTTCAACTTCCATTCAAATGAAGAACTCTCAAGCCTCTGGTCACAGGACCCACTTGCATTCTAGAAAACTGTCGATTCCAATGAACTGTTGTGTATGAGGGACCCTGATATTTGCTGTATTATCAATGAAAACAATGCAGAAGTCACACCTCACAGGAATTGAGAGGAAAAAGCCCAGGGCTGAGCACTGTGTCACAGCAGACGAGGCCTCTGCTTGCGACACTAGGCTCCCATGCCAGAGCACCAATTCAAATCCGGCATCTCTGCGACCAATCCTGCTCCCAGCCAGGGTGCCTGTCGGGGCCCAGCGTGATGGTCCAAGCCTCCCGTGTGACAGCCTAAGCTGGAGTTCTTGGCTCCTGGCTTTTCGGGCCCAACCCTAACTGCTCCACTCATCTGGGGACAAGTCAAAAAGAAAGGGGCAAGGGGCTAATTGTCAAAACAAGCTTGCCAGAGGTGGACTGGACACAGACCCACAAATGCAGAGGGAGAGCACAGCCCCGCTGCAGCCTCTGGGTGAACGGTTCAGACACGCTGGAACACAGGCCTTCCGGAGTAATCCTGCCCACCCAGGAGCTCAGCATCTACAGCGGAGGGCACGCGTCCTGCAGGCATGTCACCTGTGTCACCAGGGACAGCTCCTGCCACAGCACAGCGAGGGTGCACCTGGGCACTGTGACACCTGCTTCCTTGAAATTGCATCACTCACAGAGGCCACACAGGGTGCCGGCAAGGTCAGCCCTGCCGCCTCCATGGGGTCACAGCTTCATCCCTGCTGCCCACTGCCTGCTCCCTGTCTGATGTGGGGAGACCAACAGCATGACAATGCTCGGGGCCCTCTCCTCTCACAAGCTCTGTGCTTGGCATTTTTCTCTGTCACACAAATTTCAGTAACTGTGAAGACAGCAGGTCACACACAGTTTTGAAATCAAAAACTATATAGAGCACTGATAAATGTTACTTCCTGAATGGCTGGTGTTCTTCCCAGAGCTCGGCCAGGCAGAGTCAGGAGCAGAGAAGCCACCCTAGGCCTCCCACGAGGCTGGCGGAAGCCCAGTTCCTTCAGCCATCACCGGCTGCCCCCCAGGGTGGCGTTAGCAGGCAGCACAAGGTGACGGTGGAGTGTATGGTCTTGAACTCAGGGACTCCAAAACGAGACGTGAGCATTCCGAGCAAAGCCTGAGCCAGCCAGCACTGAACGTGCATGCTGTTAGCTTCAGCTCTGTCAACAACAGGTGCCACGTACTGTGGCTTTCTGAATCAGTTCAGGTTTTCAGACTTTGAGCCATATATACCACTGATGGCTGGCTCAGACATTCCCCATAAATTAGCAAGAAGCGCACGATTACAGGATAGGTATGGAAGAGCATTCTTAACTACAAAAGGAATGTCATGTTCCTGAAACTTTAAAGATGGAAGTTTGCCCCCAGGACACCAGCATGCTCCCAGGGAACTGTGAGTTCCATCAAAGCCTGGGAGGCAAAGCCCCCTGTGAGGCTGCTGCTGCCCGGGACATGAGGCTGAGCTAGGCAAGGCTGTGAGGCCGGAGGGACTTTGAGATCAGAGCAGAGAGCTGGCACTCAGCTCCAGCTGGCCTGTGGGAAAGGTGCGGGCTGTGTACCACACTGTGCACCCATGCTAGCTGCGAGGAGTGAGACAGAGAACCGCCCTGGTAACCACTGCACCTCTAAACTCGGAAAGAAAAAGGCCAACCTTGTGGTGCACCAGAGAGCCATGGGCTGCAGCACCAGCATCCCATGTGGGTGCAGGTTCGAGTCCCAGCTGCTCCACTTCAGACCCATTTCTCTGCTGATGAACCTGGGAAAGGAACAGAGGACGAGCCAAGTGCTTGAGCACCTGCACCTATGAGAGAGACCCGGATGGAGATCCTGGCTCCAGGCTTCCGCCTGGCCCAGCCTCAGCTATTGCAGCCTTTTATGGAGCGGAAGGAAGCTCTCTCTCTCCGTCTTTCAATGAAACAGTTAAGATCTTTCAAAAGAGAGGGAGAAGCTTTCCACTCATTTACTCGGGCGCCTCGTGGCTGCTCCCAGCCTCTCTTGGTCTTGGATTCAGGGATGAGCACTCCCCACGCGTGCTCCTGACCCTGCTCCCATCCTCTCTTGGTCTTGGATTCAGAGGTGAGCACTCCCCACGCGTGCTCCTGACCCTGCTCCCATCCTCTCTTGGTCTTGGATTCAGAGGTGAGCACTCCCCACGCGTGCTCCTGACCCTGCTCCCAGCCTCTCTTGGTCTTGGATTCAGAGGTGAGCACTCCCCACGCGTGCTCCTGACCCTGCTCCCAGCCTCTCTTGGTCTTGGATTCAGGGATGAGCACTCCCCACGCGTGCTCCTGACCCTGCTCCCATCCTCTCTTGGTCTTGGATTCAGGGATGAGCACTACCCACGCGTGCTCCTGACCCTGCTCCCATCCTTTTTCCTGCAGTTCTTCTGAGCCTCGCCGGGAGATGCTTGTTCTCAGCAGCTCTGTGCTGACCTCGTAGCCTGCCATTTCCAAGTGGCCTAAGCACCTTTCCTCGTGCAACAAAGGTCTACGGACATTGGTTCTGGAGACCTAGACCAAAGATTTGGACAAGCCTGACAGGAAGCTTCAGCTCAGCTAAAAGACACAGACCAGGAACATAGGTCATGGACACCAAGCCTGGGGCGTTCTCAGGGGGCTGTAGGGCCCTAACCTTAGGCCAGTCTTGAAACTGTGATATGGGATGGGCTGCCTTAAATCTGAGCAAGAATATTTCAGAATGAATGAAAAATACAAGGATACAAGTACTTGGGGCCACAAATGAGCTTGGTATGATGGAAACATTGAAAACTTTACCCTGCTTGTGGCCTGAGGAAGCAGTTAAGGACGGCCCATGTGGGACCCTGCATCCACCGGGAGACCCAGAAAAGGCTCCTGGCTCCTGGCTTCAAATCAACTCAGCTCTGATTGTTGCGGCCATTTAGGGAATGAGCCACTGGATGAAGATCTGTCTTCCCTTCCCTCCATAAATTTACCTTTACAATAAAAATAAATAAAACTTTAAAAAACCTGATCCAAAATAGGAAAGCATCCTACCAAGACGAAAGAGGAAGAATAGTGAGAGGCCAGAATGTGCGGGCTGTTATGGGTCAAGGTGAGGAAGTTGTCACGGCTGCGAAGGACGCTGGGCCACCAAAGCAGCAGAGGCAAGGGAGTGGCAGGGCGAGACGTGCCCACCGGAGCGCCGTGAATTCTTGGGAGACACCGTGTCTGGCTTTACAGCCTGCCTCTGCCACACGCATCACAAGGAAGACAGAAAGGCGATTAGGAAGGTAATTCCAAATTCCATTTGCAATAGATTTCTGGTTCCAGTAGGAAAAAAAAAAAATTAGCTCTAGGCTCATAGTCAGCTTGGCATATATTAAAAATCTGTTTGGAAGCAAACTGTTTTTAAAGTACCTTTGGTTTTAATTAGTTTAGCATTTTAATTTTAAGAAAGGAGGAGGAACCTTACTAAGGAGCGTTTTTCCATTTGGGAGTTGAAATCTGCACCATAGTGTTGCATCAGAAGGGTTTGTGGTGTGTTGATTAATAATCAGCTCAGGCAACCTGCAGATGTGAAAGGCCACCGTGACACACACAGCTTCGTCACAGCTCGTCCCACTTTCAAATCCGATTAGTCCTTGTGACAAACGATGGGGTTGTTCTGTTTTCTTAAATGAGATGTTTTTCTTTCAGATAGGGGCTTTGGTCTGAGTAAGCGCATGGGCCGTGACAAGCCCCAAGTGTTGTATTCTTCAGGATGCCCTTAGTCAAGTATCTAGCTTACATCCGGTCTGACCCATGTTTGTCTCATCCAGCGAGCCTGCTCGTCCTTCCCCCCGTCTCCACACCAGGGTCTGAAGGACACGACGTTGGCGTGGCGCCGCAGAGGGATAAAAGCTCCGGGTGTCGCACGCTGCCACCGCAGACACGCACCTGGGAGTGCGTAAGTGGGCCTCACCCTCTACGTTTGCCGCTCATCTGCAGCAACTGTGAGGCTGACAACATAAACGCGTCTGAAATAGTCAAGGGAGGCACGAGTGAGCACTAGAGCACTGAAGACGCATGAAGTGGCTCAGGCCGGGCAAGCAAAGTCCATCTCCTCCAAGGCCGAGTCCACAGCACCCGAGGGGTGAGTAGCAGACACCGGGTGGGCCAGCCGTGTGCCCTGTCAGAGCACCTGAGCTCTGCTTCCAGGGCGCTAATGTAACTGAAGGCAGCAGGCACTGACTGACCTGGGTCCCTCCATTCCCCAGGATGCAATGCTAGGCTCCTGGCTTCAGCCGAACCCTACCCGAGCCATCGCAGCATTTGGGGAGTGAACCAGTGGGTAGGAGTGCGCTTTCTCTCTCTCAAATACACAAACAACTTTGAAGAGTTGATCAGGTGCATGGCTGTGAGAGGAGCGTGTGCTTTGGTGCTCAGCCTGTGCAGCACCCAGGCCTACTGGCTGAGACAGCACCAGTAGCAGCAGTGGCCCCACAGGCCAAGGAAGACAGGGTCAGTTATCTGGAGCCTTGTTTTAGTGCCCAGCCACTGTCTCTGGTGCCAATTCTGGCAATATCCTTGAAAGAAGACCGGGAGACCAAGGCTCAGATGTTGAGGCAGGTCCCTCAAGCGACCGAGGTCTGAGAGGCGTGTCCAGTGGTCCCTCTGCTCCTTTGAGGCTCACACGAGATCATTGCGCTGAGGCTACTGCTGGCATTGCATTGCTGGGCCATCTGAGGGGCCCTGGGAGCGTGGGCACACGGTGGGCAAAGCCAAGGGGAAGCACGGTGTGGGTGATGACTAAAGGCCAGTGTCCTCACACGTCTCTCGGGGAGAGCTGGGTCTGCTTGTCCCCCTTGGGTCTGGGTTCACCTGTGGCCGCTTGCGGACACACAAAGTAGCATAAAGAGGAGTCCCGGCTGCCCAGCTCTGCAGCTCTCACAGAGAAGCCCTGCGATGTCATGAGAGGATGATTGTGTTAGTCACGGCTCCATGGGGCTGCCCACCACGCGGCAATGGACAGCAGACAGGAGAACAGCAAAAAGTATCCAAATCCTTGAGGAGTCTACAGCTGACCATGGCGCACTCCTAGAAAACAGAGGACTTGACTTTCTGCAGCTGGAGTTTTTTGAGTGAAAGTTGTTGGCTCTCAAGTGGAGCTTTTAGAACACGCTCTGAACCAAAAAAAGAACTCTAAGACGTACTTCCAACCTCCACACCCACAGGTCTTTCCTTTCACTGCACGATACTTCTAATAGAATAATTTTAGAATAGCTTGTTTATGAGATATCAGCAGCTGTTGTCATTTGATAATTAATGATTCAGGCAAAATCAGTGTATAATTTTCTAATGATAACTGATTTATAAACATGAGTGCTTTCCTTGTCATAAACCTTATAAGTTACAGATCATTCTGGAATTTTCACTCATCACCAGTTTTCTTTGGTGAAGCAACTCTAATTCCAGTCTCATCACTTAGATCCAAGTCGGACAACTGGGATTGGCCCTCCCGGCCTCTCCCTCACCTCCCAGCACCCATCACTGCAACCCCCTGTGCCCTCCTCCCAAGCCCACCCCTAGCAGCCCAGGACCCCTCTACAGTCTTGTAACTGGTTGCCTGCCACCAGTCTTGCTCTCTGTTTGGGTGAGCAGGGTCTATGCCCGTGATCCTGGAAAGAGGGACTGCAGAAGTGGCTGCATGGAGGCTGTTCACCTTGGAGGACTGTCCTGGCTTGTACTGGTATGTCTGCATGGAGCCACAAGGATTCCTGGAACCATCAGGAAGAGGGCAGGTGACAGGAGAGCAGGCCTGGAGCCGGGGACAAATCTTGAAGATGGAGCAAGAACCCCAGCTGAGGGCTCTGGGGCAGGGGGTGGGCAGCAGGAGGCTGGAGAAGACAAGCACACAGGATCTCCCAAGGCCGATAGTGTGACCCAGCCGTGACAGCCACAGGAAGCTAGCCAGAGGATGAAAGTGGAACTCAAAGATGTGCTTTGACATCTGGGAGATGCACACACTATTCCGCCTACTGCACGCTTTCCTTCAGCTGCCTGAAGATCCCACTGTCCGGCCTGCTCACCATGCCCAGCTCAGGTCTCCTGGAGCTAGAGACCTGAATGAAGAATCTCATGGAGGGCTTCCACAGGATACAGAAATTCAGGTTTTTTAAAAAGATTTATTTACTTATTTGAAAGAGGACACAGTGAGAGACAGAAGAAGGTAAGGTTTTCTGCCTGTAGGTTCACTCCCCAGATGGCCTCAACAGCCAAGCCCTGGCCAGACCAAGGCCAAGAACCAGGGGCCTCTTCTGGATAACCCACATGGATACTAGGGTCCCAAAACACTTGGCCTATCTTCTCCCTTTCCTGAGCCAGCAACAGGGAGCTGGATCAGAAAAGCCAGAACACCAAACAGAGCCCATGTGGAATGTTGGCATCAGATGTGGCAGTTTTACCCACTACACCACAATGCCAGCTGCAACCCAAATTTCTGACATGGGCTGGGGATGGAGCCTGTCTAGTTCCATCCGTGTTGGGTTCCCTCTCCGGGCGTGCTAAATGCCAGCTGATGGCACCTTTTCCCCCACGCCTCCCTCAGTGCTCATTCCCCTTCCCTGCATTCAGAGAGATCAGAGGGCATCGGGTCACCACTCCAGATCTCCCCAGACATGGCATCCCCGGGCATCCTTGCTGTCCTCTGACCCTTAGTCTGAGCCCATCTGTAAGCTCAGCATAAAGAATCCTGACATGCCAAAGATGGAGGGAACTCATGCCCAGGCTGGCACCAGTGTGGCCAGGGAATGGCTGATTACACTCAAGAACTGACTGGTTACAATAAGCATACACTGCTAGCCCATATTTTAGTATAAGTGTGTACCAAGCACTGCTCAAAGATTATAATCACACTGGAGCCCACATATCCTTCCCAAGGGCAGTGGCAGGGTGAGATCATTATGCCCATTGCACAGATATGAAAGCTACAGCTCAGAGAAGTCAGTTATCCCCAAGATGGTGCAGCCAGTGAGCAACTGAGCTACGGTCTGAACCCACGGAGTCTGCCACCTCCCTTGCTGCTCCCCTCAAGAGCACAGTGGCAGAGAATGGGACCCTAGCGCAGCCAGGGGTGTCAGACATGGCTGCAGAATTGAGCCAAGTGAAAGCAGACTCCCATTCGGTCATGCAGAAGCTCCAGAATGCCAGATTCCCCTTTTCAAAGCAGAAACCACAACAGGCTCACCATCAACCCCTCAAAAACAGGGCTGGGCAGTTCTGCCAGCTCACCCGGAGCTTCTCTGCTGCTCCAGGCAAGGAGTGGCCAGAAAGGCTGGCAATGAAACAGACAGAAAAAGTGGGAAAGCATGGCAATTACCGGGGACCACTGTAGACGACTGTCGTCCTCCTGGCTACAGGTCACCCTGGCACTTCCAGTGGATGTGGGGAGAGTGCTGGGTGCTGGGTACTCTGATGGGGGGTCCCTGATTCTCTGCACTGGGGTCCCCAACTTGATCCTGAAGGTCTGCTTGTTGTTTTTCTGCCAACAGCACACCCAGACATGTGCACACGCTTGCTTCCACGAGGAGCCAGCACAGCAGTGCCTGCATTTTTTTCTTTGGTATGCATGAGTGTTCCTATGGGGACATAATTTAGCTGGACATATTAAATCATGTTGTCTGCAGTCACAAACCAAATGAATTATTGATCAGGGCTGTGAAAATCCAAACACACACGTAGAAGTATGCTGGGAAGCAGGGATCCAGCGTGCTCAGCCTGACTGGGGGAGCTGAAAGCCTGCCTCAGCCCTGGCTGAGCTCATCTTCCCAGGCTTGGATTGATGTACCTGTGAGTAGAGCATCTTGGGGAGAAAGGACCATGGCCATTGTACTTGTCATTTTGGGTGACACAGGAGTTGAGTGTAAAATGGAATTCTCTAGAGTTTCTATCCGCCAGTGTCTCTGCTCCCATCCAAATGTTACCAGTAGCATGTGGTGGCACTGGGTGATGCTGGAGCAGACATCCCCTGCTGCCCTGGCTGCACTGGGTCTCTCTCCTGCCACCCTCCCCATAGGCATTATACTATGTGATTGCCTTGGCCTCCTTAAGCCAGCCCCATCATCATCCTTCTCAGACAAATGAAGAGAGAGAGTTAAGGAAAGCTCCCAGAGCCTCACAGTGAGGAGGGAAGGGGCAGCAGGAACAGAGGTGTTGTACCCGTCCCTGCCCAGGTCAGATCCCTAAGGGAAGAGCTGGGTAACAGTTGCAAGTGCAGGTGCAAACCCAGCTGCATTACCAACAGGACAGGGGTGTCAGGTGGGCACGGTCTGTCTACACATACCTCTGTCCCACCTCCAGGGCTTGGGTCACCTGCAATTGCTCAGAATACAGACTCAGCCTCCAGGAATGGGGTAAACCACTCCCAGGAGCAGCAGAAAGGGCTGGGCAGCTCAGCAAATATGCAGACACGGAGTGAGCTGTGAGGGCCCCTGTCCCACGACACGTCCTAGAGGCCAGCCCTAGAATTCACACTCCCAGTCTGCATTCCTTTTCTGCCCAGCCTGGGGGTGGGTGGTGCAGGCAGGGCCCATGGGAGCTCTCCTGCTGAGTGTGTGAACGCCCTGGCCACAGTCCGCTTTCAGCTGCATGTGGTGGCTGCCCAAGCGAGGCCCCAGGCATGGTCTTACTACAAGCAAAATTCACATGTGTCTGCAGATGGACACACCAGCAGCCTAGGTAAGAACATGACCAGAGGCCCGCACGTGGCAGTGGCATCTCCTGGAGAGGTTCTGTGGTTTCAAATCTCACCACCCTTCTCCCCCAGTGGCCACCATGTCCTTGTGTCCGGCAGGCCCTGTGCACTGGCTCTTCCTGTGATGGTCACTCAGGCATCTGTGATGGAACCCCAAGGCCTTTCTTTGGCAGACAGGCCTTGGATGTGTGATTGGGGGGGGTCACCTTGTCCACAGATGGAAGTCTGTGGGTGCAAAGAATCTGCCCCTGGCTCCTTAAAGTCCATGCCCACTGCACCTGCCAAACCTCTTTGTCCGTGTTGCACTGTGCCAACAACAAGGCCTCCCTGTGTCTCTGGTGTGCCTGGGCACTGAGTGCTGAGGGCGGCTGTGCATCCTGCACTCACTGGCTGCTTCATAGTGCTAAGCAGGATGCCAAGGTCTGGTGGAGGCAGAGAAGATGTTAAAACAAAGTTGCTGTGTTTGCAACACAGAAAAGAGACTCAGGGGGCTCTGGTGGGAGGTCAGAGGTCACGGGGTGGGGGCTGGAGGGTTGGGCCATAGCCCAGCCATGCCCTCCATTCTGTGGCATGAGTTTGCATCTCATCCAGCAGGAGCTGAGGTGTGGAGGTGCTGTTTGCATGATGCTGCATGCAATGGGGAACGTTGGAGCTGTTGAAGGCCTGTGCCAGCCCTGGAGTAGACAGGTGTCCTGTGGAGGCCTGTGCTGACCCAGGAGTGGGCAGGTGTACAATATTTTTCCCCATCAGCTGTGGATGCATGATGCAAGTCTGAGAGCCGTCAGACATTGCAATATTCCTATTAAAGGTACCAAACAAACAAACAAACAAACAAAAACCCAAACTCTGGACCTGTGCTGCTTTCAATCAGGAGCTGCCAATGAGAATGACACGGTTTCACGGGTCACGCAGCGCTCGGCTGCATGTGGCCTCCAGGGACCTGGACGCTAAGTACACAGCATGTTCATGCTCGGCAATTAAGACTAAATGAGCATGCGGAGGTAGGGGGACATCTACTTACAGAGGAGAAATCACTAGCACAGGGGAAGCAGCCCAAACTAGGCAGAGCCGTGGTCTGCAGCAGACATGGGACCAACCCGAAGAATGAGCTGAACTGAGCCTGGCGGAAGAGTGCCAGGGTGCAGCAGAATCTGGGAGTTTCCCAGCATGCGTGGCTTCCACCTGCAGCTTAGAAACCCGGGGTGCTGCTCTCCAGGCTGCCCGTGTCTTGCTCTGAGCATACAAGGCTGCCCACTTCTGATTCTCCTTGAAGGACTCCTCACTGGGGAAGGATTAGCAGCCAGATTAATTCCCACCTTAACTTGGAGCTTGGTTGCTCTGCTTC